ACACACACACACACACACACACACACACACACACACACACACACACACACACACACACAGATACAAGAAAGTGAAAAATGCTTTCCACTACTTTCTTTTACTATCCCTCGCATACACACACTCACAAACACACAATTTTTGTTTATGTGCAAAGTTTTCTTGGTAATATTATGTAAGATGAAAAGAGCCAAAGTTTCTGTGGTTTCAAATGCTTTGCACAAACACTAAAAAACAAAAAAAATTTTCCTTGTTGGACTGGCTGGCAGTTTAACTGGCAATCCCAGAGACAAAAAGTCAAAGTCGCCCTAAAGAAAAGGCAGGAAAGTGGGAGCAGCCCTTTACCAAAACTATACCTTCTAATGGAAGTAAATATCTTTCTTTGTGTTTGTGGGTAAGAAAGGAAAGACGTATCTCACATTAAGTTTCATAGCTGCTTTCACGATGTTCATTTTTTACAGTGATCACCAAATGACAGGGCACAGAAATGAGGTCTGTCATCTTCCAAAGTCACACTACTGCACAATTTAACTTTTTCATCATTTATCACATGGAATTGGACAGGATAAGTAGTGCAAAGTCATTTGATGCCATTTGTAGCTGGCATGACATCGCATGATGACTGATATGTGTGTTTTGGCACCGCATTGGGCGGGTCAAATTCAAACCCTTGGCATGGCTTGTGTACAGGAACTTGCATGGCAAATGGTACCCTGATGGCAGAAGAAAGAGAAAGCTGTAGCTGCATTTACTTTCAAATACAAAGCAATTAGAAAAAAATGCTTTATAAAATAGACTTAGAGTGTTATCTTGAAAGGAGGTGAAGCACAGTGCTCTGTGACTAGTACCCCCACTCTCTTTTAATATAAACACTTGGAAATATCAGTCTCATTTTCTTATTTGTCACCTAGTTTAAACTATGTAAACAGCCAACTTGCTGTTGTGCACGTGTCAGTCTGTTTTACCTGTGCTACCCCCTCGCCCCCTCTAACACCCCACCTCTGAAGAAAGTCTATGAATAGCACAGTTTAGCTGAATCCTTGTTTGACTCCTTTAATAAGGCCTAGCCTGTTGTGCCTTCCTGCTTCTCAGTCCAGCAGCAGAACCCGGGCCTGGACCCCGCCGCTAAGTGATTGACACATTCTGGCAGAATGAATTAAAACCTCGTGCTGTGACACATCCCAGAATAGCAAGAAGCTGTTGCTGAACTGCAGTCTCTAGTGCCGCATGTCAGCAAGCTTAAAAAACTTGGCAGAACATTCTGCACAAAGGAAGCATGTACAGGTGTTTGTGTGTTCCTCTCGGTGTGTGTGAGACTGCCTGTGCGTATGAGCCGACATGCGCTGACGTACGGTATGTTAATGCTTCAGCTACATCAGCAGTCTAAAGAGTTAATCCAACAGGCGGCCTAAAGCAGAGCCGCAGTGCCGATATTTGTCATGTTTTACACGATTTTGTGAAGCCCGATTGACGCTTTTTCAATTAAACTGAGACCACTTTGGAATTTGAAGGCAGTGGCAGATGGATCTATTTTTTTGGCCAGCTGTTCTCTGGAGGGTGACGCTGGGGTGGGGTGCGGGAGGGCTAAGCCCCAAGATGTTTCGTGGCGTAGGACTGTGAGTCTGTGTGCCAAGTCACAGAGCTCCCGGTTCTTGCCAAGCAGGGGGTGGGTTGAGAGAAAATGCCATTTAGCTGGCTGGTATTTATAGATATGTGAGGAACTTGTGCTCAGTCCTGGCCGAGGTGCTGACGACGTAAAACGAGAGGACGATTCCAGAAGTCGAGTGTCAGGGCACACAGATAAAAATACCCAGTGAAAGATGGGTCCGGTCATTAGTGGTGCAGTGTGGCATGTGACATGGCAGCATTTCAGAGGTGATTTATGGTTATTACTACAGCTAACCTATACCTCTCCCTTTCCTGCCCCCACCCTACATCTCAAATTGGTTTGCAAAATGGAATGGCAAATGGAGTTTATTTCAGGGGCCGAGTGCCCAGAAAAAAACAGAAGAAGTGTGGAGCAATTTAGACTTTGGCAAGGTGCCACGGCTCGGTGTAAGATTTTACCACAATACTGGGAAAACATGATGATAAATTACACTTCTAACAGCTATTTAAGGTGGAAACGCAGAAGGCAAAAGCTACTTTCATGTTACCACCAACCCCGTGTTACTGCAAGAGCTGATAAAGAGCATATGAAAAGTTTTCCTGCGTCAATCATATCATACTGGACAAAAATGATGTGGGCTGATGATAGGTTGTGGGGGTAATGATCTCACTTCAGGTCACTGCCTTCTGTAATTGCCCGGAGCAAGCTGCCACAGGGAAGAACAAAGGAAACATTTCACACGTCGTAAATTCATGTAATGCCCTGCTGCAGAGCTGCTCCTCTGGTTACATTGCTCCTCAAAATTTCTTTTTGTCTTGTTTTAACTTAGTTAATCATTAAAAAAATAACAGTTTGCATTCAGACAGTGAAAGTTTCTGACACATTTATCTTAAGAATATTTACAGTTATTAAACTCACCTTCTTAATGTGAGTCAAGTCTTTTCTCCCGTCTTTCTCTGCTCTTTTCCCCCCCTCCTCCCCAACTGGTCATTGCACATGTTGTTCCTCCCTGGTCTTGTTTTATCTGATGTTTCTTCCTCTTAAAAAGGAGTTTTTCTTTCCCACTGTCGCCAAGTGTTTATTCATTTTTGGTCATCTAAAAAGTTTTCTCTTTATTTTCGTTGAGTCTCTACCCTGCAATAATAAAGCACCTTGAGGTGAGTTTTATTGTGCATTGAACAGAAGAAGAAGACATATCCAGGGAGAACAGTTGCACTTGAAAGAAATGTAGTGTGTGATTTGCATGGCCAGGCAGGAGGGGATGGACATGAGGTCTTTGCTCTCCTCTGACCCACCAGAACGGTGCCCTAGCTGGGTTACAGACTTCCTGATTTACTAATAAGGCACTGATAAGGCCTTACTAATAAGGCCCTCTCCCGCTTAACAAAACACACACTTCAGCAGTGTAGCCCATCACAAGAGAACTTGTGAGTAGGGTTTACAGAGGCGAGGAATGATTTGCATGTTAATGGATTTGCGGATTCTAAATGAGGTCAGTTTACAGTTACACCTTTTTGCATGCATGAAGGTCTAACGTCTAATTATGTCATTTTAATGAGCTGAGATGAGCTTTAGAGGTCTAAAAAAATGCTATGAGATTTTGTAATATATATAATGTATCAAAAATGTTCTCCAAAGTCTCCAAACACATTTCAAATATCATACAACACTTTTCTCCAACACTTGGTGTCTCACTGAACTACTTCCCAGTATTTAGTCTTTTGTCCCTGGAGGCAGATGATGGAGCATATGCCTTACTCGCTGAGATGGAGATCAAGTGTGTGTTAGAGCAGCTGAGAAGCAAGATGGAAAGAGCAGGAAAGTGTGTGATTTCGTCCTACATTCAGAGGCTCGAGAGGCTACTCTCATGTGTGAAAGCACAGTGCAGTGTCTGTGTTTCACTTAGAAGCATGTGGTTTGTGTGTATGTGTGTGTATTGGGGTATCAGGCCAACAAAATTAGTTTACCATCAGCTGTGCTCTCGTTCAGTCCCGGCCACCATCCAGTATTTCTTCCAACTCTCTCCATCTAATTGTGGCTCTGGACGGCTTTACAGCACCACCCTTGGGATGCTACTGTGGCCAGATCCAGAACACTAGGTTTTATGTAGATTGAATGTTTTATGGTTATGGACATAATATTTAAGTATAGAAACAGTCGCACCACAGCACCCTGCTCTAATAATTACGCCAGCCTGTAGGTAAGTGGGAAAAGCTGCGTAACTGACCTCACACTGCGTAGTGTGAGAGATGTAGATAACCCAACAGTTGAATCAAATCAATGCCATGTCTCAAGTTGGTTACATTAAGCGGGAGGGGACAGACAGACTCCACTTTTTTTTTTTTTTAAAGTAGAGCGGGGAGAGCGGGAACTGTAGTAGCCACATGGTGGTGAGTGCTGTCATGTTAAAACAGTTAGCCTTTGATAGCTGCTGCAGTGGTCAGAGGACAAATCATTAGAAATTTTCACTGTCTAGAATCTGATGGATGTAGCTTATGTGTGGGCCTTCACGCAAATGCATGGCCATTAGAAAAACGATTGGTGGGGGGAAGAGAATGGAAGAAAATGATTGGTGGTGTGCTTTTGCTTGTAACAGTGACTTGATGTAAGTTAATCATCAATTTGGAAAA